AACATTTTGCAGGCGATTTTTCAGTTTCAACTTTGACGTATCATATATGTCATAGACGTGAGCGATAAGCGGATCTGATCTTTAGCTCACACAAGGACATAGAACACTTCCGCAGAACTTCAGCTTCCTAGCTTGTCTGGTTTCCAAAATCATTTCCTGCCAAAACTTTTCTACTTTTCTTTCAGGCGCTCGTACGTGAAATGCAGACGTATATGCGCGGCGATTTCATAATGGGAGAATCGAAAACAGAGTACGACATGATTCAGAACTTTCAGTTCCCTAGCTTCTCCGGTTGTTGAGCTGGAAGAAAATGTCAAAATGCGAGTAGACGACATAACACACATGCACACGTATGCATACGCACACACAGACACACACACACACACAAACAAACACACACACACTTTATTTACATAAATATGTAAGAACGCACAAAAAGAATATGACATAATTTCATCGGATTATTGATCGGGGAGTAACTTCCCCAACCCCTTACCTTCCCCCCCTTTCACATGCTTTTCCTAGCAAACAGAAGGATTGCGACAAGGAAGTTCATCAGTTAACTTACTTTCATCACCATCAATGATTCGTGTCCGTTGGTGAGATGATGCGGCAGCGGCTGTTGCTGTTCCAGTAAATTATTTGGCCTCTGTTCCCTCTCGACCTCTGTCATTCTTTGATCCTTTGGTCTGTTTGCCACGGAAGAGGTTTCCGATTCGTTACCTATACCGCCTGCAAAAGAAATTTAAATTTTTTATCTATTCAGAATAATCTCTCAATCCCTACATTCACGACCTATTTATATACGTCCAAATACAGGCTGATTTTCGAGGACGAAGCAAGCCATGTACTCAAAATTTTGGTGCTTGTCAAATTGATTAAGGGACTACTATGACGAATTCCTCATTCAGCAGCTGGGCGCAAGTAACAGCCTATTATGAAGGCGAAAAATAAAGCAGCCCACTGAAGCACACTGTCATTTATTTAGAAACGAAAATGAGGAATGGCCTGACACCTAATGCGCATAAAAAAATCTGGCAATGACTAACACAAGAGCCTACGGCAAAGTAAAACTATTAGCCTTATCGCTTTTGAGGGCGGCTGAGAAATTAAGTGTAAACTTGACACACCATAAACAATGGTACCATGAAGAGTTCCACGGTTTACTGGCGAAGATAACTGTTGAGCAGAGATAGGAGTTTTATTTGAGCATAAAAGAGAAGTTGTCGCCGACTGGCCGTTGTGAGATCCGAGCGTCCCGCCTTCCAACATACTCTCACCCGGCTGCTGTGCTGAAAAATGGACAAAAATTATTTTGCTAATACATTTATACAAAGTATGTTAACAAATTTCTTGAGCAGCCAGTGGATTTTGGAGAAGTTCTGGATTGGTCATTTCAAAAAAAGTGGAAAGAATTTCAAAACAAGAGTTCTCTAGCAATCTTCTGACTGAATAAAATCTGCATACTTAAACCAACCTAAAAAAAATGTACCTTGCTGTGAGCTATAAAACTGCCCAGGCTGTTTCAACACACCGGCTGACCTAATACCTCCGACTACAGCACAGCTGCTCATCATTTTCCCTGAAAAACATCCGACTGAACATTTAAAAAAAAAATGAGGGCGCTAAACACGTTTCTTAAAACAAAACTACTTTTAAGAACGTCCTTTAGCAATTAGGTCTGGGCTTCCAATTCGCTACCCAAATTGATAACGGTTTTGTGCCACCGGTGCAACTTGCAACCACCCCCAAAGACAACAGTCCCGTTCATCAAAAAAGTGCAGTTGAGCAACAAAATCGCAAATTTTTTAAAGAATGTGAAGAACATACGGTCGCTGGCTGCAGCAGGCTCCGTTGGCGACGGCTGTGCATTCAGCAGTAAGCGATTTCGTCGATAATAAGTCGAACTGCCAGACGCGGAAAAGTT